AGCCCCACTGCATCTGAGGACTGCCATGCTCACCTGCAGGGGACAAAGAGAAGCTCTGCAGTCCCTCTACAGTCATCTTGTGGAGAGCCTGGACTGTAGGTATCCTGGCCAGGTTGCCATGGGCACATCTTTCCATGTATCTCTTCAAATCTGGTGAATGTTCCACAGAAAACTGTTAATCATATAGCAGCCTTGGGGATGCACCACAGCCAGAAGGATAGGAGAAAGGCCTGGTAGCGGAGGAGGCTTGAAAGCTTTATGGTATGTATATGAATGCTGGCAGATTGTGCCAGAGCTACTGCTGCCCCCAGCTTTAATCCTGAGGCAGCACACTCCTTCACCAGCCTGACCATCATGTGCCTCACCTGTCAGGGGCTTCCATGCCTTCAGTGCATACTCTCTTCAGATATTGCTCAACTGGGGTGCAATGGCACATCCCATGAGACCACAGTGTCTTCCTATGTTCAAGGTTGAACAGAGAGAGGAAGAATGAAAGCACAAATAAAAGAATCATGGAATCATAGACTAGGTGGGAAAGAAACCAAGGATTGCCTGGCCCAACCTTTCATGACAAAACCACGGTCTAGACAAGCTGGCCCAGCAGTCTGTCCAGCTGAATCTTAAAAGTGTCCAACACGGGGGGATCCACCACCTCCCTGGGATTATTGTTCTCATTGTGAAAAATGAGTGACTGATTATCACTGTGACTGATTGGTCTCATTGTGAAAAATCTTCCTGTTGTGTCAAATAGGAATCTCCTCAGGAGTAATCTGTACCCATTATCCCTCATCTTTTCCATGTGACTCCTTTTAAAAAGGGAGTGTCAATGTATGTTGCAACCATCCTTTAAATATGGAACATGGTAATAAGGTTTCCCTTAAACCTCCTTTCTCAAGGCTGAACAAACTTGAAACAGTTCTCTCAGCCTTTCCTCATATGGCAGGCAGTCCATCCTTTGATCATCTTTGTGGTCTTTCTCTGGACCCTCTCCAGCCTGTCCACATCTTTTCTTGCATAGCAGGGACCAGAACTGAGCACAGTATTCCTGGTGTGGCGTGATAAGCTGTGCTGGTTTTGGCTGTGGTAGAGTTAATTTTCTTCACAGTGGCTATTAAGGGGCTGTGTTTTGGATTTGTGAAGAAAACACAGTTGATAATATACAGAAGTTTTTGTTATTGATGAGCTGTGCTTATAGAGAGCCAAGGCCTTTTTGGCTTTTTGTACTGCCACACTGGCGAGGAGACTGGGGGTGCATGGGAAACTTGGAGGAGACACAGCCAGGACAGCTGTCCCCAAATGGCCAAAGGAATATTCCATATCATATGACAACACACTCAGTATATAAGGTGGAGGGGGAAAAAGGAGGGAGGGAGGGGCATTTGGAATGGTGACGTTTGTCTTCTCAAGTCAGCATTATGCATGATGGGGGTCTGGTCTCCTGGAGATGGCTGAAGCTCTGCCTGTGAACTAATTCCTTGCTTTGCTCTGCTTGCATGCATGGCTTTTACTTTCCCTATTAAACTGGTTTTATCTCAACCAGTTTAGTTTTCTAGCTTTTATGCTTACAGTTCTCTCTCTGATACCGTTGGTGGAAGAGGGAATGTGTAGCTGCGTGGCTCTTGGCTGCTGGCTGGGGTTAATCCATGACACAAGCTCTGAGTACAGTGGGATAATGACATTTTTATCTTAGCTGATGATGTCCTTGTTTATGTAACCCATCATCTTGTCGTTTTTCTGTGCTGCAGAAGCACACTATTTGCTCATATTGAGCTTGTTGTCTACCAGGATCCCCAGGTCCCCTTCCACAGAGCTGCTCCCAGCTTGTGCTGCAGTCCTACATTATGTTTTTCCAGGTGCAAGACTCTACATTTGTCCTTGCCGAACTTCATAATGTAGTTGTTAGACCAGTCTTCCAGCCTATCCAGGTTTTCCTGCAGAGTAGCTCTCCCTTATGAAGTGTTCACTTCTACACTCAGTTTGGTATCAATGGAAAACTTTGTCAGGGTACAATCAATGGCATCTTCTAGCCTAAAGTGTATGTTGTTTTTGGCAGATTATTATAAATGTCACAGTCTGTTCAGAGGCAAGTACATAGGGGATTTTGAAATGTGTGTGTACCTGTGTTTGGTGGGCTCCGTGTGCTCTCCAATATGTAAAATATTTTTCCCATTGAGACCCCTGGTGCTTGCTTCTACATTCCCAGACCATGTGGGAGGTTTTCCACAGGACTTCTCTTTCCCTCAATGGAGAGGATGCCTGAGCACTGAGTGCACACTATTTACCTTCCAGCCATGACACATGCTTACATACTTTGGAGGGAAACAGCAACATTTCTGATATAGACAGCACTCAGAAAATGGCTCAGAAATATTCCCTATTTTCAATTAATTCGAACAGCTGAACAACTTAATTTCTTCTGTGTTTGGAGCATGATGCAGTTCTGATATGTCACATTGCATTAGGATTTTGCACATGGTATTTGCTCATCTCAGTTTCAGGCTTCCTGCAGTATGAACAAACTTACTTATTTTCTGATCAGATTCCCATTTCCTGCCCCTGAGTCACAAGAGGAATAAAGCCCTGTTATGGACAGCAAGATGCAAAGAGCCTCTAGAAGCCCTCTGCTGCCACAGTTCACCAGCTCCTTAAATTCCAGTTACTTCACTCTTTTTCCCCAAAGAAATGTTATTGAAGCCAACTACTGGTTTGAACTCCTTTCCAAGTGAGTGTGAGATGAAGAGAGGAGGGAACATCAGCCAAAATCACTGATATGCTACTTTTATTGACCATTTTTCACCTTGAAGTTGGTGGTGGTATGTGACACCCAAGGATCACAGCCAGGGTGCAAATCATGCCATTTCATTTGGAAGGCATTACTTCATATATGTGATGCTCATGTGCTGAAACACATTGCATTCTAAGCAAGGTCGCCTTCTAAGAAAGGAGTGATGGCATCTAAACTGCCTGTAGTCCCAGACCCGTGCTGACTTTTAAGGCATACCATGGGGCTAACCAAGGAAGAATTTGTTGTTCCAGGTCAGGAGCATGCTGTCAACCTCATGGAGCAGACAGTTGACTTCCAGCACCTGCAAAGAAGTTGAGCTACTACTACGAGAGACGTGTTAGCTGGTACAGCTCCCATTGCTGCACGCCTCCTCAGATTCCCCATGTATTCTACACTGCTGTGTACTGCATTTTAATATAGTTTCTTGCACAGTTTCAAGGAGGGAGTTGGAAAAATGTCAATCAATATTGTTGTAAATGAGCCTTTAACTCAATATAATTGTTTGACATATTTGAGTTCTTTATCCTGCTTGGTTATCACATATGCACACACACACATGTACATACACACACTTAAATAACCTCTGTATTTTAAAGCTGTGCTACTCTCTTTGTCCTTGTATCCCTTCCTCTAATATTTGTGTTCCATTTTCAAAGGCATGCAGGCATGCACTGGTATCTGATGATCTGTGTCTTTTCGAGTCTGCATGCAGGTGCAATTTCGATGGACAGCCTTCCAACAGACTCACACTGCTCTTCCATCCTTTGCCCCTTCCCATAGACAAAAATGACCAATGTAACCCATTACTTATCTATCAGAAAATAGATCTACTTTCCACAGATTCCTTATAAAGCTCCCTTAGAAAAATTTGTTCTGGACATCAAGGAGGCATTAGGCTAAAACATTGCTTTTGTTGAGGAGTTAATTTAGTGTTTAAATTCTTTTTCTCTGTTGACTTCTTTAGTGGAAAATTGGTTCCCTATGTACAGCAGAATTTAACTGATCCATACTTCTGTGATAAAGGAAAAAGTCAGTCTTACAGTAAAAAATTCTCCCCATAATGCTGACAGCATCATGTCTTGTAAATATAAGTAAGAGGCATACAGCAAAATCTTGACACCCAAACTTGAAAAAAGATAATGTCATAAAAATAGATTTAGTTACTTTTTTTTAGTTCTAGAGCATTGCCAGTGATTATGAGAGAGAAGCAATTGTGCTTTGTAGGTGTGACCAAGTTTCAAAGCACAGTGCCCTACTGCACCAAGTACAGAATGGTTCAAGCCCTGAAAAACTGCAAATGAACTACAAGAGGCTCTATTCACTTCTGTGTTTAGGGCCATACATCTGCCCTGTTCCAGAAGAGCCTGGTATCCACTGGCACATTGTGTTTTCCATATGCATCAAACCCTTGCAAGTGCATCCAAACCCAGAGAAACTCAAATTTGCCGGTCAGCTCATGATGCATTTTTGATGACTGAAAGATGGTCCCAGATTAAGTTCCAGAACTCCAAACCCAGGCCAACGTTTCTAACACAAGGAATTTCCAAACCCTGCAAGCCACAACATCTGGAGTTACAGCAGTTGTTGCAGGGCCTGCTTATCAGACAAACAGCCTCACACAGCCTGATGAATAACTCCCATCCTCTTTGCCCATCACATCAGAACACAGAGCAGAGCAGCTCTGAGGGGGCAGTAAGGGCCATACCCCAACATTGCCCCCCTCAGCGTCCACATGGGCAGAGCCTGCCTGGGTGATGGGTGCATGTGTGCTGCTTCCAGCAAGGATGTGTGCCTGCAGCTCTGCTGGGTGCCAGGCTCTTCCAGAGCCTTCTGGGGACATTTATTTTGCACTCTGTTTTTCTACAGACTGATATGTCTTCTCCCTGGGGGCTGCGAGGAGTAGCAAGGAAGAGAATGGCTGTGGCTGCCTGGTATACATCTTTGTGGGGGATGCATAGCTACTACAGTTTCCAATTTGGCAGAGCTCACAGAAATAGCTCTTGCAGAAATATGTATTCCTGAAATGACTTAAAAATAACTCAGTATAAACCTGAAGTGTATGTAAAGTTGGAATATAAAGATGTAAAAGGTATAAACCACTCTGTTCTGCCTGTCCCAGGGAGCACCTTCATGGTTGTGTTATTCCAGCCTTACCCCTCCACACCACGACTCTCTTCTCCTGGTTTGAAGGACTTGATTTGAAAGCAGCAGAAGGATTGATGCTGCCTTGGCTGGATTGAGAGGCACTCATGCCTTTGGAGAAAATTTTATTTGTGCTTATGAAATGAGACCCTCATGAGATGTAAGTTCTCATGGGAATGGAGGACCACTGCTCTTCACAAATATTAAAAAGTACTTGAAGTAAAAAAAAATACAAAGAACCAGCTCCTCTCATATACAGTTAGTTTTAAAATTACCTGCTGTACAGAAATAGAGGCAAATTGTCTTCAGCAGGTTTATCTCCATTTTTAATAGAGTCTGAAAGTCAGTAGAGTCCTTCACAATCCTATATCCAAAATGAATATATGAATATATTGAGAAATTAGCATGAAATGGTGAATATGGCAAATGTATTTCACATCTCCAAACAAAGACAAATGAAAATCAAGAATCTCTGCAGCATCCCTCCTAAAAAAAAAAGAAAAAAAGAATCATCTTATTGAATAAATTACACTTGAAGAGTCAGCAGTGTTTCTTTATGGTCAAAGATTAATTCTGAGGACCAGAAACCTAAACCAGCAAACAAAGTACCTGCTGCTGTCTGCCCCATCCTGAGAGCTCTTCACAGCAGAGCTGAGTAAATAATTTGCAGTAGATAATTTACCCACACAAAAGCTTTCTTTTTTCCACTTACTGAATGTCAGTACCTTGGTTGTGGCTTCCTCTAATTTATTCGTAATTCAAATTTACTTGTCCAATTTATTATCTTTCTTCTTTCCTAACAGGTCAGATAGACTGTGAAGGGTCTGTTACAAATATTTCAACCTGCCTGTTCGAAAAAGAGCTGAGTTTGTAACGAGTAGTATCATATGGTTTGTATTTTTTTTTCCCTCTATCAAGAGGAACGGAAATTTTGTGTTTAGGGAAAGAGCTTTGGGTTGATAATATAAATTTTGTTCTGCTGGATAAAACCAGAGGGATTTTCCTCAAAGCTTCAGCCTTAGAAAAATGGTGGTACTGCAGTCTCTGCTGTCTATGTTCAGAGCGAAAATGAAATCTTTTTATTACATTCACTTGAAATAATGGCATCTGCTACTCCAGGCACAGTTAAAACCTCATTCACTTGCTTGTGTGCCTGGGCTCTAGAAAAATTTCCCAATGAACTTGAACACCTACTGTGTTAAGCAGTGTCCCTTTTAAATGTACTAATTGCAGAACATAGACTGAAGAGAAATGGTCACAGCAGTGGTGGATGAAGAGTTTTTGTCCCTCATTAAGTTTAAGCTTGAGGCTCTGGTAGAGCTTTGTCATTTCAGCCCAGCACTTCTGCTATATGGCAGTATTCAAGCATGCAGACTTCAAATGGTCTTTTCATGGGCATTCAGGCAACCAGGCTCCATCGCTCTAACGTCTGCAGAAAACAAACAGGAAAGAGCTGGGAAGCCTGGGCAAAGAGAATCCATTTTTAAGCCACCAGCAACGCTAGTCCACTAATGCAATCCCTGTTTTGGCCTCTGGATTTGAGAGATGATTAAAAAAAAACCCAAAGCCAGAAACAAATTGGCATCATCTAGCCAGATGTTAAGGGGACACTAGCTCTTAATGGGTGTTTGCTACTATTCACACTACTGTGTATCACCAGTGCTTCCTTCAATTTACATAATCAGATATAATCCATGAATATGTTCATGCAAATTTTAGCAGAGGATGGGTTTGTAGAGCAGGACTTCTCAGTTACAATGTGCTTTAACTAGAAAGCATTTATGTGAAATACAGAAATGACGACCTCAGGTAACATTTCTGTAATTTTTAATTTAATTTCTGTAATTGTTTTACTGTAAAACCCAATAAAAATTAGACAAAACTTGGAAAGTTTGGTTGCTCAAGTGGATGTATGAGGGGTGAGGTGTATGTATGCAGCTTTGGTTTGTGTTTGAAATCCTAGTGGTTCACAGCCATTTTCCCATGCCTGTGGGCTCTGGCCCATGGGTTGACTAGTACCCTTCTGAAAGATCAAATGCATCCAGATGTGGATAGGCAGAGTTAAAGGCTGCACATGGCCAAAGAATCTGCTCCAGTTTTGTCCAAAATCTCAAATGAAGGGCCCGCTCTGTCAGGCTGACAATGGTGCTCACCACTCCAGTGGCAGTGGCCTCTGGTATCCACAGAAATAATTTTCTTCCCTTTTGCTCTTTATTTTCACTGGCCTTTGCACTTCTCAGACCTGATCTTAGGTGAGAGGAAAGCATCAAATTAATGCAAGAGGGCTGCACTTCTGCAGGGCAGGGCAGAATCCCAGGAGAAGCCCCATCTCACCCCTCAAGCCTGCCTGCTGCAATGGTATCAATGACAGAGCACTCCCACCTGCCACAGTCCTGCCAACCTCTGGGGCAGCACAACCTCAATTGCATTGCACCAAGGACAAGCAATGAAATATTCACATGGCCATGCACCAGACCCAGCAGGCCATGGGATCTCAGCAGAGATTCCTGAGTCCTCAGAAACAGGACTCCTCCGTGAGCCATTTTTTCCCGATGTAAAGTGGGGCTGGCTGTCGCTGCTGGCTGACTGGCAGCTGAGAGGCTTTTAATGAGCATCTCTCCTCCTTGGCAACACTCACTGAAGGTGACTTCATCTGGGAGTGAGAGCTACAGTACTGGGCTGAATCGTCCTGAATTATTCTTTGCATGTCTAAGAAGGTATAACTGCTATTTAGAAAGGTTCATAAACCAACAAAGCATCCAGAATATAAAAGGCAGAGAAAAAAAAACAAGCACTGCCCCTTTTCTGAACCCCTAATAGAACAAACCTTCTTGGCAAAAGCTGAGGAGGGACAGAAACAAACCAAGGCTCTGTGGATAATTCAGGAATTATAGGCTGTGCATGGGAAACAGTACTGAAAAATGCATGAGAACCATTTTGTTAAAAAAAAATGGTCTATGGAATGCCAGCTTTTGTGGAAGAATCAAGATCAATAAATAGAAAGAAGTAAAACTGCAAAGAGCCTGAAACTGAGAGCAGAAAGCTCTCAAAAACCCAGTTGGGTTGGAAAAGAAGAGGCATTGAAATTTTTCAGAGAAGGGTGGATGAGCTGTAGGGACAAAGCTGAAGAAGACCCCATGTTTTGCACATGGCTGAGGTCAGAGCACAGAAAGGGGCTGTAACCACCAACACAAGTGAAGATTTTTGCTCTGGGAGAGAAAGAAAAAAAAGGTAGGTCTAGAAAAGCCATAGCTGGAAGGAATGTCATGTCCAGCTCCTCTTCCTCATGCTGCCCAGCCTTGAGCTGCCACAGAGGGGACTGATGACTGGAAGGCAGCACAACAGCCATGGGGAATGAAGATGTACCAGTGAAGCACAGCCTGCCCGAGACGAATGTGACATCAGTTTTGTGAGACTGTCATACTCAGACTGGTGTCCAGGAGCCGAAGATTATTGTAACAATGACACGGCAGCAGATTGAATTTCCTCAATGGCACAGGCAAGCAGGAGAGACCAGGGATGAGTGTCAGCTCAAGTAAGCAGCAGTGCTCACTGGTGTAAGAAATGCTGCCAGCCTTCGCCCTGCTCCTTGTTTTATTTTCTAACCCCAAAAATCACTTGCAACACACAGGGTGACCACATAAATGCAGGAACTACACTTGAAATCCAAAGAAGACAAATCCAAAGAGTCCAAAGGTTTTTGCGAAAAAAATAAATTTGTTTGCAGCTATGCCTACAAAGCAGGATCGAGGATGTTATTAGACGTCAGACACTGCCCATCTGGTGAAGTGTTTCCTGAGCCTGTAGACAGGCTTCGAGGAAAGCGAATGGGGTAATTGCCTTTCCTGGAGCATCAAACACAGGAATGGGGTGGGGGGCAGAGATAGTAATGAAAAAGTAGTGCTGCACTGCATCCCTGGTGATTTAGCAGGTGTGTGTGTGTGTGAGTGTATCTCGGTGCACACCTTCGAATAGCCTGGAAATCAAATTGCTGCAATCTCTTCCTCGTGATTTTTAAAGGGCTCTCTGTTGTGTGTTTTAGAGGCAGATTGATAAAGGAGCTGGGTAATAGTGAAGTGTACTCAAAACTGATGCCACTTCCCAGGCTTGGGAGGCAAAACATCCCCAAGTAGGAGGAAGCCAAGAGCCCAGGGAAGCCCTTGGCACATCTCTCTATCCTCCTCCTAGCAGCCACCAGCACAAGAGACGCAATTAGGGTCCAAGTCATCCCAGCTGATGCCCAGCTGTCAGACCCTTGAGGCAGGGGATCAGAGTCTCAGCTGGGTAGAAGCAGTGCACTAACACCACCCTCATTCATTTATGCTCCAGTTACACTGATTGCTCCAGGACTAATTTGGGGAGAAGTGGGGACTTTGCACCAGAATAAATGTATCACTCTTTGTGATGGCCATGCTACAAAGCAAGATTATCATTTGAATCCATGAGATTGGTTTTTAAGAATGCAAATGCAATGGCCTGGCATTCTTTGCCTGGCTTGGGAAAACAGGAAGAAATACAGGTAGAATTTCGCAGTCCTGGAAAAATGTTATTACCTCTACCCATCACTTTGTCTTCCTGAAGGATCCTCTATACACTGGTCATCCCAAAGCTGTTACTGCTTTCTTAAAACCTTTCCAGTATAATTGAACTCGATCAGCATATGGTGAAGCCAAAGCACAAGCTGACAAGCACAGGACTGACCCTTACATGTTGATCATATCTTCCTTCCCCACAGAGATGTGACTAGGAAGAAGGAAAAACCTTTATAAAGCCACTGAAACTGGCTAAAATTAGAATTGGCTGAAAAAGGGTATTTGGGGGGATAAATTAATACACTTAAATTTTTATTTTACCTGAATTCAGGAGAACCAAGTCTTGCACTTATATTTCTTTGAATTATAGAAAAAAATTCGGTACATAATTATTTTGTTTTCTTCAAGCTATTGACAGCTTATGTGCTGATGACTTACATGTTTGATGTTACAATGTCAGGAGAAAAGGCTGGGTCTTTAAAGTATTAAAGTATTTCTTTTTTTGTTTTGCATAAAAATGAATGAATTCTTTGTTCCTCTCATTTTGACATGCTCTGTGGAGAGTGTATGCTCAGCAAGTCTAAAAACTTTCAGCACAACCTGTCATAGCCTCTAGGAATAGACTAAATAAGTGTTAACCAAAGCATGAAATATGAAACACAACAACACAAGACAGAATGAAGTGAAACTCTGCTCTGATTTCAAATCATGCATAAACAGATTTCCTCGCTATAAGCACAGCAGCTGATTTTTTTTGTTTCCCTTGTGTTTCACTTGTGTTTTCTTTTTCAGGGGAGAAACAAAAAACAAACTGGCATCTCAAAATATTTGACTTCCTCCAAATGAAATTATTTTTGTTATTCTAGCTGGATCCAATAAAAAATGAACAGAGAGAACTCTTCAGAAATGTGGTATCTTTTTAATGTGTACTTTCCTCTTCTCTTTCTACTAATAATGTTTTCTGGTCAGAAGGTACTAATAGCCCTTCATAGACAGCTTTATAGACAAAGGGTCTAGAACTCAGCAGCTGAGTTCAGAACCAGTTCCCAAGAAATATCATTCAGCCCCTAAAAAAACCCTTAGTAAAGTATAAAGCCTTATAGTGCCTTTTTAAAAAGGACATAGCCCTTGACAGCAATATTGGTGTCTTTCATGGACATTTGCACATTGGACATTTTTTCAAATTTCCTACAACAAGGATATTTTGAAAAATAAAGAGCCTTGGTTTGTAAGTGAGGTTCTTGCAGCTGCTACTTTACAGATTTCAGTAAATCTCACACCTCTCAATGTATTTCAGTCCCTGTTAGATCCTGCCTGTGAGCAGTTGTGTGGCACTGATATCTTGCTGAAGAAAAGTTGACAGGAAATGTACAATGCCGGTTTTGTAGCAAAATGCAGTTACTTCTGTAGCCCACACATTATTTTTAGGTTTTAAGTCAGCTCTACTCAGTAGACCAGCGTAGCTGTCTCCTGAGGGGTTTCCTTACATTCCCCCGAAACAATCAGTGTTACAGCCAGCCAGGACTGGAGACAGGGCTGAGTGGACCCTTGACCAGATTCAAGGTGGCAATTCATGTTTCCTTTATTTTTAGAGTGCATATTATTGTCGCCCCAATGCAGATACCCAGTGTTTTTCACCCTCCTTTACAGGGCCCTGCAGTCCTTTGATGGTCAACCAGCTGTCAGTGCACTCAGGGTATGGCTGAGATTTGGAAATTCAGTTCATGCTTGAATGAATTCAAGCAGCTTACAATGCTATGGAAAACAGAGATGCCTTTACTCTCCTTCCTGCATTACCCGTACAAACATGCCAAAAATCCCGTCGCTTTTGGTGACAGACATCACTGCAACATAGCTGCACCTGAAAAAAGAAGTGTCACAGATGCACACTCTGCCTTGCAGCTTCAGCTGGGAGAAATGAGAGTCGCAAGTCCTGGAAATAAATCTGCCTCTCACTCAGCACCAGATAACCGACAAGTGTTCGTCCATCTGCTGTAAGCAGTCAAACTGTGAGTTAGCTCATGTGTTATTACGGCAGCGTAATTGGCTGAGGCTTTTTGGACCGTGCTCCATGCCCCTGTGCTGGATCTCCCGCAGCAGCATTCGGGGGGTGAGGGCTGAGGGGTAGAGGGGCTCCTTGAGACCGGTCTGATGGAGATGGGCAGCAGTGGCGTGAACGGATGGCTGGAGCGGAGGCATTGCCCGACCATGTTAGCACTTTCTGCCAGCGGAAATGATGGAGAAAGCTTTTGCAGCTGTCCCTCAAATCCCTGTGCCACATAGTCAAAACCCTTTCTGCTTCACAGCTAACCTGTAGTCACTTGTATCGGTTATCGGCCTAGGCACTGAACTTCTGCCTTAATATTTGAGCATCAATTCCTTTTGTCATCACTTTCCCTGCAGTGTCCTTAAATGGACATAAGATGAAGGTGATGGTAATGCATTCCCTGCACCATCTGCAGCATCCAGGCAGTGTGACCCACATGCTGACAGGGCCCACAGCCATGGCCATGAACGTCCCCTCCCTTGGCTCAGCTGGTCATGATACCTGCAAACAAAGCTGCCTTGCTTGCTCCACGAGGTTTTCCAGAAACTTTGCTGCTGGTAGAGGGGCTGAGGAGGGGGAATGCTCTTGTGTCTCATACTGGCATCACTCAGCATCACCGTCACTGCATTTATCAGATTGGGGCAGCCCAGATGAAGCCTGGCTGAGAGTCCCAGGGCCAGATTGCTAGTTCAGGGGTGAAGCAACACTACGATCAGGAGATGAAAGCGATGCCACATCCATCACAAACAGAGATGCTGAAGAAGTGCAGAGAAGATTGCACAGAAGTTGTAGCTCATTAAAGGAAAACACGCTGAGATATTTTTATGTTGTTATTACTTACAAAAGAGTCACTTAACACAGCTTATTATGGTAATTACAGTAGTGTAAAGAGAGACCTAGCAAAGATTACAGCACTTTAATACACCATCATCATGGCTTGAGTGAAACATATTTAGGACTCAAACAAGATGTCTCCCACATGCCTGACCAGGGGATAAAAGTAGCAGAAGATCCTTGCATAAGCTGCTCAGGTTGCTGCAACATCCCCGAGTTGGCAGAAAAGCTGTCAGTGTTGACTCATCAAGAGGCAGAGGATTGGCTAGAGGAGGCTGAGTTGAGGGGCTGGCACTGCACGTGGCCATGGGGGAGCCAGGGTGGGAGGAAAGATGGGATAGAGATGGACTGTTGGGGACATGGGGCCCAGGTAGACGATTTTGAGATGAGCAAGCAGTTCAAAGATCTCTCCTTCCTCACCTCCATCACTCTGTCCGATGCAGGGATCATGCATCAAGAAAGAGACTGTGAAGTCTCACGTTTGCCACGTGATCTGATAAATCCCCCGCTTACACCTCCAGCTCCCAGCAGCTGGGAGGAACTCGACCATAGCATTTAATGATCCTGGTGGGATTTGTCCTCCCTTAATTTATCCAATCCCTTTCTGATACAGAATTTATGTTTTCACCCCTGGAGGTGGTGTCACCTCAGCCTGTGTACTCCTCTGCACCCAGATTTATGACAGTTCAAAATTCTCCTGTAACCCTTTACACTGTAACTGCTTACTAGTTGGTTCTATTTGGTTCTATTATGGCAGAGCCCATCTTTCCTGTGTAGGCTGCTGCAAGAACTTCCCAAATTCTTAAAAATCCCAAACTCCTCTTGTCAGGTCCTCTCAGCTCTCTGCATTTCTGCATGGCCCTGTGTAGGGAGCATCTCAGAGAATGTCACCATGAAGTCTGCAGCTTGCTTATTTACCAGCACTCACCAATCTTCCCTAGCACTGTCAAATCTGTTATCTGGATGCTTCATGAGGTCTCCCACCTTCACCACCATCATGTGCATGGCAGTGGAACCTTCACAGCTATCACAAATCCAGTTTGGCCACCTTGGGCTCAGGAGTTATCTTGTTTGTGGGGTAAATGAACCAATTGCAGTGCATATAACTTTCACAAGGTCATGGGGATTTTGTCGGTGATGCTCAGTGCAGTACTTTCAAACCTACTCCTCAACTGGATTATCACCTGTATATTACTTCACTGACACACGTTTTGCTTTTCTTTGAATTATTTCTTTATTCAGTTTTCTGAGGAGCCAGTACTGGAGAAGCCTGCAGCCATATCCTCTCCCATAGCAAAGCTACTGCTGCAGCCAAATTCTTCTCACTTGGACTGGGTCCCGTAGTCCCACGGGCACCTACTTCAGCATAAACTGTAAATGAGTCAATGCAGATCATGTTTTCTCAAGAAGGAATAACATGCAGTCTCAGATTCACATAACCTGATTCCAGTCTCCTGAAAGGAAGGATGGCATCAAACAAAACATTACTCAGGTTGGGTTGTCTGCTTACAGCAATTTAAGGTATGTGAAAAGTGAGGCCAGTCAACAGCATCCATTTCATCCCTTTGCAAATATCCAGATGGTGCTTGCTGTGCTGAGAGTGAAATGTCCTTTCCAGCCTCAGAGTCACCATGTGGAGCTCTCATGGCCAGTTGCACTGGCTGTAAAGGTGACACTGGGGAAGCTTGGAAAATGACAGGAATGCCTTCTCCTTTTTAAATTCAATTTAGAGAAGTTAGAAAGGGTACTTGGTGACATTTTTAGGAGCATTGATACAATGGGCAAATGAAGGCATGCAGGAGCATGATGATCTCAGTTTCCATGTTCAACACAGGCATTGACCAGCTACACAGCACTACTCATTTCAAATCTCATTGAAAATTGTGGACAGTGTAGTTTGCAAACATAAAACAATTGGTTAAATCACACTTAAGATTGTGCTGAGCACATCCTTACTCCCGTTTAGCAGAAGCTACAGCAAACCACTCTGAAAAGCTGCCCCGAATGCGCTCCAGACCAGCCCCTCATTGGCTGCTTTCCTACCTGCAGGAACATGTACAGGTAACATCACTGAGTAGAAAACACAGACACTTGTGAGATCTTGTGCAAAAGCAGGTGAGTGTAGCGTTCCATCCAGATGACAGAAATGACTGATCCTGGGGGAGCATGTTTAAAACCCTGGTGGCATGTGGGCCTCTGTGGGCATGCCAGCCCCTGTCAGCCAGCACCCAACGCAGTCATGATTTACATCCATGCTGTGTGCGCGTGCACTTTTGGATGAAGATACCTTTGTGCTGAGGCTGCTGACACTCGATCCCGTTACCGCAGATACGTGGTGATCAGCTGAGTGCCTTCATTGCAGGCAGATCTGGATTACACCAGCAGAATGGGGAGCCAAAGCCAGCTTAGGTTTCTGCTTCTGCAGCCACAAGCAGATTCATTGACCCACCACAGCCAGATCCGGTATTGAAAACTGCTCTGCTTTACAGAGACAATGAAATCCCTCATGTGCAACCTTGCCATTAAAACATATTTCAATTTAAAAGCAATATTTAGTAATACAGTTGGGTTTTTTTACCAGTTTATTTGGATGCCAGAGTTGAGCAGAAACCTCAGGACTGGCTGATTCATGCCTGTTTCATTTTTCCTTTCAATCCATTTTCTCTGAAAAGGAGACATAAGCAGTGAAACCAATATAGTTTTATTGGATCCAGTGCACTGCCACTAAAACAAATATATGTACACTCAAGCCACCACACTTTTATTAAAACAAATAGAATCTAATTCAAACTAGCATTCAATAGCTACAGATTTTGGTGGGTGTTTGTTTTGGTTTTTTTTAAAGAGATAAAATTATATCCTACCAATACTTTTTCTCAATATGTTTTCACAATCAGATTCATTTGACCTAGGCAATATATATTTATCATAGGTAACACATTTTTATTAAAAGGAAATTTACAGAAACTAGGTTTCTTTTGAGTGTACAGAGAGGAATCCCAACCCATTGTAAGATAAGAGCAGAAGGACAGGTGAAAAAGTCTTGATTATTATTTTTTATGCTGGTAAAAGGCATTTCTGCTTAAGGGGTTCTTTTGACTGCTGCACTTGGGGTGACAGTTATCTTCTTAGAAATGAGGATTTTAGAAGTCAGTGTACTGCTAGATAAAATATACTTTGTACAGACCAGCAGTGAAAACAAATATAGTGCTCAATACAAACAAATGCAGTCATCAAAAATTACAGTAAATTCAAACAAGAGCAAGGGAACTAGGGCTTATACCAGAATTGAGGTGTAGCTGCATAAGAAGGTATTTAGAAGAAGTAACCTATGGTACCGCAACTCTGAAAAAGAAACAGAAAAAAGCTCAATACATTAGTGAAACCGAGTCATCATTTACAATAGTGATGTTCACTTTATTACATATCCACATCTGTGTTTGTAGATGAGATTTTTACAGATGCCAAAGGGAAATATATTTCCTTTTGTCACTAAGTGCTTCTGCAAATCAAACCTAATTCTCAATGTGTGTCTAATAAAAAACACAGCACTATAAAAACCTTATTTTGACCTTCCAAAACCTTTCCAGTTCTTTATTCATTGTGATCTATTGTTTGATCTGGAGAAGTTACTGCCTGCCTTATTCTCCTCTCTCTACTTCAGTTTATCAGAGAACAATGCAGGACTTAGGAAAAGTGTGTGTAAAACCATTCACCTTTTTTCCTGACAACATTTTGCAAAAGAAGGACTGATCCTGCTCTGCCACCCAAGCTGTTTTCTCCTCCTCAAAGGAAAACACTCTGGAGAGATTGTTGAGATATGCCCGAGTGTTGGTGTAGTGTACATTTCTGTCCAAATCAGGAGAATGTGTACACTTAATTCTTGTGGGTTTATTTGAATTTCTTTTCCTCTGTTGTTAGTAAAGTTTGGCAAGAAAAAAGAAAAATTATTTCATAATCCTGTATGAAAATTAACTGTAGCAGATTGTAATGGCCTTCTCTGAGCTCATAGTGGTAACAGAAATGAGGATGCAGGCACTGCAAACACCAGGGTGGTGCCCTGGCTGCATTCAGACATGCCACAGTTGGAAACAGGCACATCCACAACCACTGAAGCACAATTATGGTTGCTGCTTAAGTATCCCCAAGGCTGACAGGAGATGTTTTGTTTATGAACATCTTCATGGGGTCTGTGCCAGGAGCGCATATAAATATATGATGGCACAGGGCAGTTTAATGAGGGGGGCATCCCCTGCTTTTTCCCCCTGCATCCTAAAAAGTATTGTTTTGTGTTGACCTTCCCTCTTGAATCAAGGGCTCTCTGTGAGTGTCAGTCAGGAAAGCATCGTTAGATAGCAGTGGTGAGGGAGCACTATCCCCTCCATATGGGCTGAACAGCTGCCTTTGCAGACTTCCCAGCCAGGGGAGCAAAGGATTAAGTTCAAGACCCATATCCAGACATACTCCCCCGCATTGTGCCGAGTGGCAGCATGGTGCAGGTGACAAAATGCTTCCACTATTTCCAATCCACTTTGCCGGAGACCAGCTACTTCTCCTTTGCCTCATTCCAGTGACGACATTTCCAGTCAACAGCTCAGCAGCTGCGTCTGCCCGCCAGGCTTCTCCTCCCTGCCAGCCTGGTGCAAAGAGAGGAGAAAAACTCGACCCTACTCCGAACAATTTTAATTAATACTGACATTTATCAAGCTGCAGAGGAAGCAATTGCTGTTCATTGCTTGGGTTTATGTGAAAATAGTAGAAATAAATGGAACTGTCATAAAGTTGTAGACCATCCTGTCTTCATTACATCTAATGCCTGGAAGAAGTGAACTGTGAGCAGCAAGAGATACAGGAGCTCATGGGGAGGCTGATGGACTGCCCAAGCTCTGAGGCTTTCTCTGACAAGCAGGCAGTTTCCTAAATCAAGTTGCCTTCTTCACATATAGACGTGTGGATCTACTTGGGATACTTGGAGATAAGCTTTGTACAATGACCCAGTAAATGTCATTCATGGCCCCACTATGTCATGCATTGTTCTGGAGGTGGCAGACCCTGTTCCTCATGTGATTTGGGCACGTGGTGCTCCAAATATTCTGACTCTGACTCAAAACCCATGTCTGAGTCCTCCCAAGGGCTGTTCATCACTTGCCTCACACCTGACAAAGGACTGCAGGTCTGTGACCTGGAGGCACATACACCTCTGGTACAGGTTCACCGTGGTAGAAGGGCCAAATAAATGCACTATATTGCTGCAAAATGCAAATAGTACGCATTTTTTCTTCATGCAAAGCCTGCATGAGGTCTCTGTGTCCTTCCAAGCCATTGTACCCATTTGCTGATCATTCACCAGCCTTTTAAATGTTGTTCTTAAAGCTGTAGTATTATCACAGCTTTCTACCAGGGCAGCCTTTGGATGTTTCTACCTGCTTATTGACAGGTTTTCCTTGAACTATTCTGTAGAATTTATTTCCTA